AAGTCGATTTTAAAGGCTGGAAAGTTACCTGGGAAAAGTCACGAATGTCTGCAAAGTTCTAAAAATGCCTGTGGAAGGAACGCAAGTTTTCTGAAATGCCTCGAAAGCTTTTTGCAAAATAATAAATGTCACGTTTCAAGGCAGGAAAGTTTCAAGTTGCAAAGTTTCAAAAATTCGTTTTTGAAGTGCGAAATGGTTTTATAAAGTAACAAAAGTGTTCTGCAATGTTCACATAAACATTTTAAAAAAGCGCAAAAAATGCATGACAGTCACAAAATGTAAAACCTTTTGCAAAAAAAAATATTCACGTTTGAAAGCGAAAAAGTTGCCCGAAAAGCCATTAAAGAAGTTGCATAAAAATTTTCAAATTTTACAAAACTCGAGAAGTGGCATTCAAAGCCATAAAAGTCATTTAAAAATTACGAAATTTCGATTGTGAAGGCAAGAAATGTTTCCTAAAAGTAATAAAATCAGTCTTCCGATTTAGAAAAGTCGATTTCAAAAGCGGAAAAATTGCATGAAAAGTCACAAAAGTTTGAAAATACACTTCTGAAAGCAGGAAGGTTACTTGAATAGTCACGAAAATCATAAGTAAAGATCGGAAAGCTGCTTTAAAAGATGGGAAAGTTGCCTGAAACAAAAGCTTTAATCATCGAGTTAGTAGTCGGATACGATACCTGAAAATTTAAGAAACAAAGATAGTTGAAAAGATCGAAAAGTCAATCTTGAAGGCAAAATGTGCTTTTGAGGGTGGGAAAAGTTCTGAAAGTCATTTGCACAGTTCAAAAAGTAGCTTTCAAAAGCGTCAACAATCGCAACCATCGATCTCTTTTTGAAAGCGGGAAAGTTACCTGAGAGGTCATAAAAGTCAACTTGTAAACAAAGTTCGAAAAAGTCGCTTTTGAAGGAGGGAAAGTAACCTGAAAAAGCAGTCTGAAATTTTGATTTGGAAAGCTGCGACATTTTACCTAAGAATTGCCTGAAAATTCAGAAAAGTCATTATCAAAAATTGAAAAGTGGCATTCAAAGGAAGAAAAAAAAAACCTGAAAAGCCAGGAAAGTTGTCACTACCCTGAAAATTAATGAATGGCCACCTGTGAAGTTCAAAAGTCATATTTAAAGACAGGAGAGTAGTCCAAAAATCAAATAACAAAATGTTTTCTGTAGAAAAGGCGGAAAAGTTGTCTGAAAAGTGTTTAAACGCTAAAAGGGTTTACAAACTTCGCGGACAGGAAAGTTTGCTTGAAAAGTTTAAAAGTTGAAACGTCGCTTTTAAAGTAGAGAAGTTACCAGAATTGTCATGAGTCCTGAGCAAAGTTTTGAAAATCATTTTGTTAATTTGTTTTCTTAACTTTCC